TACATCAAAATAGATCTAAGACTGCAATACTGCCCCATCTAGCAGGGTATAGACAATTGAAAACTATAATTAGGATTATAGAGATATAGTTCAGATATAGAGATAGTGGAGAAGTTAATCTTTCAAACAGGGTTGTTGTGAAAAGACGTGATTTATAGGTAACAGCTCAATACTCCCAATTTGAGTTCCCTGGAGAATAGGTGGGAGTACCAATTGTATTTTTTTTTAAAAAAAATCTGAATCAATGTTCTTGGGACTAAGCTATACTTTTTGCAGAATATGCAGTCAGAATATATCTTGCGATAACAGAAGATAACTCAAGAGTTTCTTACCAGTCCGTGTGTCCAAAACTGACATAAAAAAAAAAAAACACTAGCATACCCAAAAATAGGGAAAGGGATATTAAGAGTCCTTGCTTTTATTTTTATACATTGCTTATTTTAACATGTGTTTCCAGAGAAGCTGTTGGTTTCTACTTAAGCCCAGTGAGCTCATGGTATTTTTGATGATTGGTTTAGAACAAGTGTTGTGGTCTTTTAGATGGGGACTAGACAACCCGTGATCAACTGGGTCATCCTTTCAGAGATATTTCCTTACCTAAACAGAGAAACTGTTCATGGGGAACATTTGTTTTTAGAATCAAAGGAGAAAACATCATTTTATTAAAGATGTGTAGCGAGACAAATGAAGATGCTTTTGGTTTAAAAAAGGATGCTTTTGCAGATCAATCAACATTTTAAAGAATACTCTTTAACATTTTCACTTGTTCCTTGGGTGAAAATGAACATATAGCTGCTAATCATGCTGGGATACCACTTCTCCAGATAAATCAACACATTCTCATTGGTTTGCCCTTTTGTTTTCTTTATATTGACAACACAGCATGACTGTATTGGGAATTATGCCCACTGATGAAGGATGTCTTCTCTCTGATGAATAAATTTTAATTCTTAGAATCATGACAATGTCATATTTTATAACACACCAATGATTATCTTTGCTACAAAGGCTTTGGATATCTCTTATTACATGTACCATTTTCTCAACATGCCAAAATTTTGTTGCAATACAGACCATGGATCATGTGCTTCACTACCAATTTATGCCGTTCTAGATCTTCATTTGGGTCTAGTATTTTGACTGGCACAAATGTATCATAATCTGTGGTCTTGGCTTGGCTGCTTCATCAGACCACAACAGACAGTGCACATGAGACAGATCCCACTGTTTGGTATTCCATATTTAGCATGTAAGCAATACGCTTATGAAAAAGACCAGGTGTTACAGTGAAGAACTTTGTCTTCAAATGGAATATTGTTGTAATTAAATCTGCACAATCATTTGACTGTTTATTTTTTTAAAAAGATGCTGTCATACTGAGCTTAATTCTTGGAATCTGTATATACATCATGGCATCCTGACATTGTTCCATCATATATCTTGGTCCACCAACATATGTTCCAAGTGAAATCTGCACCCACCCTTTTGGTCTTCCAAAAGGGCTTGAAGACAGGATACTGACAATTGGCCTGGGGCCCCAATTATCAAGGTGGCCAATGGATTAGATAATATTCCACCTCCTCCCCGTGCCATTAGCTGATCTTCTCTTACCTCCTCCATCTTTTCTTGTCTTCTCATTCTGTAACTTCTGGAGATGTGCACCCTTTCATCCTCCATTTCTTCATCTCTCTTCCTGGTCACATCTCGACATTTGATGTTGTCTCTTGATCATGACATACCCCCCCCCCTCTTTCTACATCAGGGGTGTCAAATGCACATAATCATGGAGGTGTCATGTGACGTATTGGGACTTCCCCCCCCCCTTCACTAAACCGGGTGTGGGCATGGCTGGGAGTTTGACAGCCCTGTTCTACGTGGCATAATTATGTTGACAATATAGATATTTTTATCACAATGTTTCTATGTTGTTATTCTCACCTCAGAACAGTTTAGAAACCTGTTGGGTTGTGTTGCAGAAAACTGTCAGAGACAGTTTAAAAATAGGATCACATGACTTCCAGGGGGGCTAGGGCAGAACTGGTCTACACTCAATTTCAGAGCAGGAAGCCGTTTAAAAATGAAACAGGATGGGCAAGGATTAAAGTATAGGGACTAATCTATTTGACTGATAACAGAGAGATCTAGTTTCTACTCCATCTACGGACACAGCAGTTCATTTGGTGACTTTCTGTCCAATCTATCTGTTGTGAAGGAACATGACAGATTAAATTCAACATCTGTTTGAAAAAAATAAAAGGACTTTGTAAGTCCTCAAGAAGAGTGTCGTAGAGTACTATTTATATACTACTAAAACTAAGTGGAGTCACTGGGGAAGAGCCTCATGGTGGGAAAGATTGAGAGCAAAAGAAGGGGGCGACAGAGAATGAGGCGGCTGGATGGGGTCACTGAAGCAGCAGGCATGGGCTTAAATGGACTCCAGAGTGGGTAGAGAACAGGAAGGCCTGGAGGAACATTGTCCATGGGGTCGCAATGGGTCAGACACAACTTTGCAACTAACAACAAAACTAAGCAGTATAGTTATTTATATGCTACTTATAAGAGGGTGGAGTATTATCCGTGTACCTGTATGTTGAGTTTCTGGATAAAGGTTTAGGTTTTCGTTTTATTTATATGCCGCCCTATTCCCAGCGGGACTCAGGGNTAAAAAGAAGTTAACAGTGGTTTTAAAGTGAAGTCATTAGGAAAGAGAAATTGTTAGGAGTCCAACATCACCAAGAATACCTTTGCTTCCTGAGCTGCATGTCTTCCATTACTCCCTGGATGTGATCAACATTCTCTTTGTTTTCCCCCGTTACATCTTTTCCATAAGCCCACGAAGCTTGGTTAGACATCTGATCAAGAAGACCTTGACCTTTTTCACGCAATCCTTGGAGGCCCAGGTCTATAGGGACAATGGACAAAATTTTATTTCGTATACAATGCAAGATGAACTGTTCTCTTAAATCATGAGTACCCAATTCTGTTTCTGTCCACGTGCAAGTTAGATGCTGCTGTCTTACTGTCACGTTCCCACTTAACCGACTGAATTCTAAAAGGTACATTCTGTAAACACATCCTTTAAGGGTTGACAGTTAACTATGTATCAACTGCTAAGAAGAGTGGTTAATTCTTCAGCAGTAGACACATACAGGTGTTTTTTTTAGAACACAAATTGATTTATGTCAGGCTTGATAGCGTTTACTGTAAGTGAGGCACTGCTCCCGCTGAAAATCCAGATTCAATTTTTGGTACAATCAAATAAAAAGAAACAGCGAGGTTGAGATTGCTGCCCAAGATCTAGGAGAGATACTACCAGCCAGAGAAAGAATTGGTGGGCACAAATGGCCAATGTCCTGATTCACCTTAATGCAATTTTGTCTTTATTATGGTCCCTCCCCAAATATTTATGTTAAATGAGAGATTGTCTTCCCATTTATTCTGTTTGCCCTTAATCGGTTTGTTGTTTATTCTACCCAACACCCTTTCAGTAACAATTATTAAAACAACAGATGTGGCTTAAAATTAAACTCTTTTAAATACATAGTTAAGAGGTTCATTTGGAGACTACTGCTGTTGGGAGATCAGTAGCTCAAATCTATTCCTTATGACTCTGTGAGTTATACGCCATCATGATCTGTTAGTTCTGTAACAGATGATCCAGCAATTAAACTAGGGATTAAATTAGGCTAATGAAGTGGCCTTGCCCTTGTCAGCCATGCATAGGTTTTGGAAGGCTGCATGTATGGATTTCCATAGGAGCTGGAAGGCACAGATTTCTAGTTCCTATTGAACTTTATTCACAAAACATGAATATGACGGTCAATGCATATTACTGAATATCACTCCACAGTGAGGTATTTTTAAAGCTCCCTTTATGAGCCAGCCAAGAGAATCTGTACCCACAGCCTGTTCCAGTTTTCCATTCAATGTGGTTGTTAGGCTTATAGGAGAAAGTAGGCAATTTAATCCAAAACTTATTCTGCAAATTAAAGACATTCACAGTAGCATAGTTGGCCATTTAATCTTGTTTTTCCTTACCAACACTTTTTAATTTCTCTTCAAGTAGCTTTAAAGTTTGCTGAATTGACGCTCCATCAGCTGGGGCTACATCAACACACAGCATCCCGAGTAATCCATCTAGTTGCTGAGACAACTGAAAAGATCCAACGCCAAAGTCAGCAAGTTATTTGTATGATTTTAAGTCTTCCTCCTTAAAGAGATTTGCTGCGTGAATGTCAGACAGAACTGTGGCTAGCTCAATTACGAAAGAGACAGAGCTAGGAGGACACAGGGTTGGTCAAAGAAGATGGTCTGAACAATAGAGCTTAACAACGGTGTCTGTGAAAGCAGCTGCAAAGGAAAGCTCTGATTTCCAGCCCTTTCAGCTACTGCCGCTTCATCCAACCCAAAGTGCCCAGGAAGAATCTAAATAACGTTCAGAAAGGTTAAATATTTCACTTAGGTTTAAACAACAAAGTCCACACTGATGGCATTTCAATGCCCCTTATGGGTTTATTTTTCCTCACTGATTTCATTTGCATACGAAGTAGGATTGTGAGTCACCATACACCAGTAACTAAATTGTCAAAATTCACCCCCCAGAATGGCCTCTGAAACACTGCCTGCCAAGGAGGATCAGGGCCCCTCCAAATCAATTTTCTAAAAGCAGGTGGTAACTCTTAATTTCTTCACATTCTCTGCAATTTTCTCAAGAACCATATGCCAAAAAGAATCCAAACGAAAGGGCAAATAATAACTGAGTTTATGTCATTGGCTGGGCTAGGAGCTCATGTCTAGAAAAATCCAACTGATATTATTATAGCAGAGATTTATGTAATTTGTTCATCTGCTCCAGATTTGCTTGTCTAGTTTCTTGGTGAAAGAATTATAACAAACANTTACCTACACAGCAAGGAGTTGTATTACATATCCCAAACAGGCCTTCCAAAGATACACTGTCATTTCATAACATGTTTTAAAAAATAAACATATGCTCATAGTTCATAAATATATAAAGGTTTTTATTTGGCTTTTGCAGATTGGAGGAATGAATACATAATTTATGCCCTATATTTGATCATTTTATTACAATACCTAGCATTTATCAGCTCTGGAAATTGCATCATCAGCTGTTACTTGAATTTGCTCAGTCATAAAGATGTAACTAGTGGAACATATATGTCCAATATCAATACTTGTAGAAAAAAAGAGAAAAAAAGGTACGTTAAAAGAGAAACCTATCAATTTCTCTTATGTCTTCAATTTGCACCTACAAATCCCTCTCGCCAGACTTTAATTCTTACTCTTGTAAAATGTAAGTCCTTTTCCTTCCCATCTACAAACAAACGTCAAAAAGAAAAATGAACTTAATTTGCCGTTAACTGTCAACAGCTGCTTTCATATCATTTTTCTTCCTTGGTTACATGATGATGCTTATTCCCTCTTCTTTCAATTATTAAGAAACTTTCACTCAAGATCCAAAATGGACGTACTCTCTTTTACAATTTCCTGCAATAAAGTAGGAAATGCAAGCTTCCATAAAAGTTACTGGATTTTTAAAAGGTGGACTTTATTAAGCACAAAACATTTCTTAATACATTATCCATACAAATTGGGGGGAAAAAATCCAATATAATGAATTTCCAGGATTTGATGGCACGTATCCGCACAATAAAAAGGACCATTTAAAAAAAATACAAATCAAAATTATAGGTCTATACAACAGATAGTTTCACCTACAGCCTAAAATACTACATCATCTGGAGAATAAACAGAATTATTTTTTGTGGAACTTGCACTTATTAGCACCATTTTAAAACTTGCATCAGTTGCCTAGAGGAAGCAGCACCTGATAGGGTGGGATAAAGCTTCAAAGCAAGTATTCAGTGCAACGTCTTCTGTTCCTTTTCATTATAGTTGAAGTCTGGATGTTCATAGCATGTTAAATTATGGCTTTGTAGAAATGCATGGTTAAGATGTAGAATAAGATTCGCTTCAAGAAGGATGAAGAGGTTTTTTTTTATGCTTAATAATAGCTATGAAATGCATTTTCATGTACTATGGCAGGCATAGAATGCAGATGTCATGCGGAGTTACAAATAGGCATCTTATGAATTGGCAGGGAGAGGCTATTAGGTCTCTGTGGTACAGCCATCTGGTTGTGTCAGTTGTTGTTTTCTCAGACAAACCAACTTTATCTTCTCTCGGATGTGTTCGGCTGAAGAAGCCATGTCACTCGGGCTCCCAAAAAACTGCTCAGTGCTAAAAAAAAGATAAAGAGAAAAAAAACCCCAAACCCAATCCTTTACATGTAAGAAAGTAATAGAGAGTTTTTGCTATGTTCACAGATTTATTTTCTCACTTTACAGCTTTCAGGATAATAAATGTTATTATAATATCCTATCACAGAAACTGTTAATCTACCAGAAATAATTTTCCAGTAGTTTCAGGATAATACAGAATAATAGAATACATGAAATTTCAGAAGAGTTTCCTAACCTTAGGGATATTTATGTGTGAAATAATTTGATACCAGACTTCACAACTCTATTAAAAATACAAATTGCTTTTTTTACACTTGTAATATGAAGCTATCTTATTAGTATTTACTTTCATTTCAAATAAACAAGGTATCATCTTTCGTATGGATGAACTTATCTTGCATGTTTCAATGACATAACATATACATAATACATAGTAAGACGATTAAATTTTAATAAATTATTAAATTGTATGTCTTGGTTTTAATATTCTCCAGCACCTCAATATATGACAACTGACTTAAAAGTGCAATCCTAAACCAAGAATTAATTTAGCTGTTAGGATTAAGGAAAGTTTAGGTGACCTTATTCTATCCATGGAGCACAGAAAGTCAAGCACTATTTTGGGTACATACACTCCCCGAGGAGTGTACCAGGGACTATTGTGAAGCATCTATAAGGCAGGAAGCTTTTGTCAAAATAATAAAAGCAGCATTGCACTCTTTGTTACACAGGCATGCAATATCACAAGGCATATACAAAGGAGGGGGAGCATTTGCATTGTGATGGCATACAATGGCTTCCATCGTTTACCTTCCCTTTTACTCCCCTTACTGATGTCTCTGGAACACCACAGATCTTCTAAAGGACTTCATCCCTTCACCACCCACTTCCTCTCCCAATCACCTGGTTCTGGCCAAGTGCAAACCAATGCGGAACTGGAACTGCTGCTACTCAGTTTTAATTTGTTCTGTTCTGTTGCCATATCTGCTTTTTAAAACTTATTACTATCCATAACGAAATATTTTGCATTGCACAGTGAGCAATGCAAGGCCTACTACTTACCCATCAGGATAAACCACTGGAACTGTTAATCTATCCAGAAGGGATTTTCCAACAGCTTCAATCTCATCAAATTGTTCCTGATCATATATAGATTCAGACTCATCTGGACATTCTTGCAAAACCTGTAATAAAATAACATTGGGGTGTGTGTGTGTGGAAACAGTTCAATTGTAAGTTGCAATAAAAAGAAACAACACTCATGCATTCTTGTAATGTTTTCTGTATTCTTAGACCAACAGATGGACTACTAACTCAGCTGAAGTCCTGGAAAAGTTCTAGCACATTGCCAAAACGTGCCTATGAGATCTTCTTCATAGTTTTGTCTGCTGATGGAGTCACAGATTTAAAAAAATTAACTAATACATGAAGTCAAAACACAGCTATTTTAAGGGAACTGTACGGAATTGCTAATGAAGTCTGTGCATGCTGTACACAGTGCATTGGCTTCAACAAAGAATGCAAAACCTACTTCATATGTGAAACCCATTTCCTTTTTGTCAAGGAAAAATGGGAGAAAACTTTTCAGTTGTGAGAGTGATGTAACTAGTGCGTAATGCTAGGAAAAAATAAAAGGAAAAAGAGGAGTAAGGTGGATAGACTTCAATTACAACAGCAGTGAATGCANCAGGTCCAATACCATGAAGGGCTTTATAAGTGACGACTAAAGATGGCATTTAGTGGCACGCGAATGTTTGTTTGCCGGAGAAGGGGTACATAAAACAATAAAAATATTATACGTCGTAAAGTTGTTGCTTCTTTAAGAGCCACATGATAAGTCAGCTCCTTGCTGACTGAAGGAGTGAAGGATTGTGAATCTGGCTGGGAACGAGTCACGGAACATTGAAAATAAAAATCACATGACCTCAGTAGCAGCCCTGAAGCAGCTATAACCTCCCCAAACTTAATTCCCTCCCAGAGAGAGATTCAAATTTTGGATGCATTCTATACATTAGAGTTTAATCTGTCATATTCCTATTTGCATAGTGTTGGTGCATATTTGCCTTACGGGTACTTAAGACACCAGTTCTGCAGACCATAGATGACACAATATTTTCCCTACCAAACTTTTGATATGAACAGTAAAAGAATATGTATTGCTGACAAAGATTAACAGGGTGTGTTAAATCTTTAGATAATTTCCCAATAACATATTCAATGAGGGAAACTTATTAGGTTACCAGATCTAAACTGCAATAAATAAGGACCGCCACTAGAGGCCCATCTCCCCCTTTCTCTCTCTTGCTAGCTTGCTGCCATCTAATGAATAATGGTATTTTTGGAGCCCACCAATTATGCTCATCATCTCCCTCTGGGGAAGAACTGGCAACCAATGTTTCCAATCCCCTGGAATTGAGATTTCGAAGCTTAAATTTAAAATAATGAAAAAGTGAAGTTGTGATACCTAAGTCGTGAGCACAGTAATGATAAAAAGAGGCCAATTTACTTAATAGGGAACCGATGGCTAAGAAATAAAACCTAAATGCAGCCTTTTTGATAAAATTGCTGTGCAGTGGTCAGACTAAAATATAAATTATTTCCATCTCATGCTCTCGTTTTCTTCAGGTCACTTCATCTCTGCAGGGCAAATTTAGTAGAAATGTGTCCATTTAAATTGCCTACCCCAGGATGTCCCACAAAACCTAAGCAATAAAAAGGGGGAAAAAACATGCCTGCGGCCATTGGAAATTGTGTGTGTGTGTGTGTGTGTGTGTGTGTGTGTGTGTGTGTGTAAACTGGAGCATATGACATCATGCAAATGCCATGGCTTACATGCTCAAGTCAGTCATTGGAACATAAATACTTAATGGTAGTATTTGAATCAGGATATCCTTCTAGACGTAATTTGATATAATGGGTGTTGTGGGGGGGGGCATTGCTATCTGTGGCCTCTCCTTTGGGAGAGATTTGCCTAGAACTTACATGTAGAAGAGTTTCTGATCAGGAATATTGTATGTTTTGGAAACAGTTATTTCCTGTATTTGATTTACCGTTTGATTAACCAATACTTGATTTACCATTCCTTTGATTTACCACTGTTTGAAGTTGCAATGGCCCTGAAAACTGTGACTTGGAAACAGTCCTTGCGCATACATAACCATTGCAGTGTCTTCCTGGGCACACGGTCTAAATTTGAACACTTGGCAACTGACATGTACTTAAGACAGTTGCAGTGTTCTGTGATAATGTTATTGTCATTTGTGACCCTCCCAGACAGCTTGTGATGAGCAAATTCAATGGGGGAAGCCAGGTTCACTTAATGGCTGTGCGATCCATTTGTTAGTTGCGGTGATTTACTTAGCAACCATGTCAAAAAAAGGGTACAGGCAGTCCTCAACTTACAAGAGTTCATTTAGTGACCGTTCAAAGTTACAACAGCACTGAGAAAAGTGACATGACTGTTTTTCTGGGTTACCACCTTTGCAGCGCCCCCAGTCATGTGATCAAAATTCAGATGCTTGGCAACTGGGTCATGTGATTACTTTTTGCAACCACCTGACAAGCAAGGTCAATGGGGGAAGCCAGATTCACTTAACAACCAAGTTACTAACTTGCAGTGATTCACTTCACAACAGTGGCAAGAAATGTCATGAGGTGGGGCAAAACTCACTTAACCAATTCTCACTTGACAACATAAATTTTGGGCTCAATTGTGATTCTAAATGGAGGGCCACCTGTAATAGAATTGGGCATGACTTACTTAACCACCTTGCTTAGCAACAGAAATTCTGGTCCTAAAAGTGACCATACCCGTACTGAGAATCTTGGCATTTGGGGGCTTCCTTTTCTGTATTTCTGCAGTGTTTTTCTTTTCTTGCTATGAAGGCATCAGAATGCCTGACGAGGAAAAGGCAAGATGGTTGCTGCCGATCAGAGGTGGGTTCCTACCAGTTCGCACCTATTCAGTAGAACCGGTTCGTCAAATCTACCGAACCGGTTAGAAGAGGTTCCACCAGTGGACCC